CACCACTTAATGTTAACAAGGACTTCATACTTCATATTTTTTCCAGTCTGTCTATTATCCTTGAGTATCCTCTGAAAACACAACAAGTAAAAGATTTATCTTTTGGGCTCTTTCACATTCACACGTTTAGGGTAAAAGGTTCCACTGCTGATCCAAATATTAATCCACGTCACAGTTATTCATGAGATGAATGTTTGTGTCAAGACACATCAACTGAAGGAGGAAGACTAATGAGAGAAGATTCCTTTGCTTTTATCCACGGGGTAAATCATCTATTTATAGTCACCTACATCAATATATTTCCTTCTATGCAGCCTCCGTCTAATGCTCCATAAAGCAAGCTTCACAAGCCTTCCTCTCTGATCAGAGATGGCTTTTGATATTTTAAATAAGGTATTAATTAAACAAAAGACATGTGGGGTGTTTTCTTTTAAAAAATTAAACAAAAACCTTTAACCTTGACAGCACAGAAAAATCATTAACAGAGGAAGAGAAACAACATTCACTCAAATACGCTAAGTACGAGTTTATGTCCGTGATCTTCAATTAAACACTTAACATCCTCCATACCCAGACAAGAGAGCACAGTCGAGTTTTAGCTGATGTTCCTGTGTGTGGGTGGGTTTATAGTCACTCCATGAAGATGATCTATTACTTCAGCGGAACTGAATTATTGAAAATTAGCTGCTGCTTTGTGTTGATGCCTTTCGTGCCTTCTTGTTTGTAATACTGTTATAGATAATTTGCAGGAACTCTTTCACACCACCAATTTAATACCTGAATTATATTATTTCCTACCATATGCATTACAGAGAGGATTACATGTCTGATCAGAGAGCCATGCATTTTTTAATGGAGGCACCGAAAGCTATAAAAATGCCTGTTAGGCTATAATGGGTGGTGGCATTACATAACTGTCTGCCTACTTACCCCTTTAACTGTAATTGTTCTTATAATAGAAGCACCCCCCTCTACCCTGCCATTAATGAGTTGACCTTTGACCTTTTGTATCCAATGCCCTGTGGAAAATTGCACCAGTATAAAGCAGAGCAGTGATTTCTTCAGCTGGGTGGGAAATTAGATAAATACCAGCGACTGTGATACCAGCCACATTTTATATAAAGCAACAGTGTCAACCTTCCCGACTCTCTAACAACCGGTTGTTACTTAACAAATATTACATTTCATAATAACTTTGCAGTACTGTGTTGTACTGTATACGCTTTTTTTATTATAGATTGTTTTTACAGTCAGACATATGCCATACAAAACTTTTGTTGTCTCTCTTACAATCTGAAAATGTATTAGTTTTGATAGCTATTCATGTGTTGGCACTGAACGCTGCTGTATTATTTTGGTTTTGTTTTGTTTTTTTGGATGAATTGTAATCATGAAGATAAAGTGAGGTCTGTTTCCTTGTTACGTCATGACAAATGAAGCTAACATAATAACATGAAGTTGATCCAAATGGATATATTTACATTTTACAGCTTCTCACAGTACTGTAAAGTGAGGGATGCTGTCATTAGGCTAAAAATAAAAAATAAAATAAACCTAAATAAATCGGAAAGACAGCAAAAACTTTAGAAGTGGCCAAATTATCAATCAGGTAAAAAAAAAAAGAAGTAATCCAATGGCCAGCAATGCAACACCAAAAATCTGGAAGACCACACAAGACAACTAAAGTGCATGATGACAGAACTATGTTCATAGTTAATTAAAACCACTTAAACATCTGTTCAAGTCAAGAACGCTCTCTAGGACGTTGGCATATCCTCATCAAAGTTTTAGATTAAGAGATGCCTTCGTGAAATGCAGAGAGTTTCTCAATGGACGAAATACAGCCTTCCTTGGAGTCCACTGGTCCTAGACTTCATACAGTCATTGACTGCAAAGGATTTTCATCAAAGCATTAAAAAATAGGCATCCATCCATTTTCTTCAGTCATGGAGCCAGAGGTGGGGTACACCTGGACGCTTCTGTCATGGTCCTGGGCCATGTTGGCCCAGTATTCTTGTTTTCTTGTATTTTCGCTCCTTATTTAGGCCATGTTTTCTGAGGTGTCCTGTTGTGGTGTTCCCTAAGTGTTTTCCCTTTGTGACTCTTACCCCCTTTGTGCCCCTCTGTGTATTTATGAGCTCTCGTCTCTCTTTGTGTTTATTCCATGTTTCCCCCAGCCTGTTATGTCTGTGTTCTCCCCGTGCTCTCTCTCCTCCTGTCTGAACCTCTGAGTACTTCCTGTTTTACTTTGACAGTCTCTCGTCAGTATGCGTCATGTTGTGTTCACTCCTGCCCTGTCTCGTTATGTTTATCAGTGTCACCTGTGTTCCCCACCTGTGTGTAATCTCCCTGTGTTCTCTGAGTGTATTTAAGTTGTGTTTTCTGTCATGGTAGTTGCTGGTTCGTCTGTGTTGTTTCCCCTCGGTCTCCCTGCGTCTTCTTCTATGTATTTCCCCGGACCTCCCTGCATCCTCGTTTCTGGTTTGTGTTATTAGCTTACCCAGTTTAGGTTTCCGGTTTCTTGTTTTTCCACCAGTGCTGTTTTGTGCCCACCGTTGTAAATAAATATTCACCTGCACCAGAGCTGCCGCCTTTTGGGTCCTTTTCTACAACTCCACACGGCTTGCCCCGCAAACCGTGACAGCTCTTTGGCTCTCAGAGGAGGCGGACTCATCTTTCCCCCCTCCCTCCCTTATCTTCCCTGCTGCTGCTTCTATGTGTTTGTCTAGTCTCGTCTAACTCTAACCCTCTGTGAGTACTTCAGACTGTTTTTGAATGGAATATGGATAAGATCTTGGAGAAGCTCATGGCTCTGTAATATGGATAACATCTTGGAGAAGAACAATGGGAATTGAGAGAACTGGTGACCAGTGATGGACATTGGACCAACTGGAAAATTGGATGCAGTTGGCCCCCCTGGTGCCAGCTGAAGGCCTGCCAAGGTTGAAGCTGACTAGAACATGATGTCAGAATTCTTTGTACCTCCTCCAGGCCACCTGGGTCCACTGGAGACTGTTGACTGACGCTTAACCGGGCGTGGTAACACTTTCTCTCAGCTGAACACAGGATACACACACACACACACACACACACCCAGACACACGACACAACACGTACACTGATACGCCCTCACTATCACCCTCCCTACCCCGGATCCAACGCCTCCTCCCATGCTTACCTCCCATCCGATGTGGACACCGGATCAGCTGGAGGCGCAATCGAAGATTGCAGCGGTCCCAGATCAGCTGTACACACTGGAATACTCTCCCATGTTGCTTGTCTGTGTTTTATTGTGTTGATATCTGTGCATTCCTGTATTATGCATTTGTGTTACACATTTCGATGTTTTTTTTTCCCCTTGCTACCTAGCCTGACCTGTCTCCCCAATGTGATGTTTGTGTATTGTATGTTCGGTTGGCAAGGCAACTGCAACTGACAAATAAACGCTATCTCATCTCATCTATTGCAGGGCTAACAGAAAATAACCAGTTTACAATGATCAATTAAGCTAGCATGCATGTTTCTGGATTGCAAGAGGAAGCAGGAGGACTTGGATAGAACCCACAGTGGTACAGATGTACACTCTGCATAGCCCCAGCCATCCAAAGGATTCAAACCTGGAACCTTCTTGCTGTGAAGTGACGATGCTAACCACTTCACCTCTATGCCACTCCAAAACAATCATATTTAAGTGTCACATGTCAGTTTAATTGGAAATCACTGTGATAGTGCACACAAGCAAAATTACTAGAGGTATTTGCTCACATACTCATAGACCTGACTGCCTGTTTTCTTGTTGTATTGCAAAAGAGGTGGGGGGGCGGTTTTATGCAGCATGGTTTTTCTCAGATGACTCATGGGTGGACAGGAAGAGACTAAATGTGACTTACCTGACAAAGTGAAATCGTAAAATTGGGCAGAACATTTTCACAGCAATTTGTTGCATTGTGTTCATTAAATGGAGATTTTATTGCCAGTTCTGAGGCTTTTTGTAAGCAGCCTCAGTACGTTTAACGAAGAGCCTCAGCACTGGCGATTATTCGCTCACAAGGGACCAATATTAGGAAAGGTATGCGTTGTGCTAGTTCAACAAGAAGCTTTCATCTATATTTTTCAAGGTCCATGCCGACTATATGAAACTGTGACGGATAATTCACCCCAAATAATGACTAATCCTCCAGGTGCACTGTTGGCGCTGGCCACAAGGCCTGTCCAATCTCCTCCTAAGTCTTCATAGTGCACTGGTGTTAAATACCCGGCATAAATAAGTATTCAGGAAATAGCGAAGCTTTAATTACATGCATCAGCACATGGAGCAATTAGGCATTGCTAACTAAAGCTACAACTCCACTCTAAATGTGGGTTTAGCATACAGAGAGTGGGAAGCTTTCATTGCCAAGGAAACTAATGCAACAACCCCCTTTTGTCTGATTCTGTCTAATATTATGGATCAAAAGGAAGTTGCGCTGCATGTCACGCTGCACGAGAGCTCAAAATGTCCCCTTCATGTTTTACCATCAAACGAAAGTAACATGAGGAAGAGGGACCCAGCTTTCTCACAGGCCTTTTTATATTTGCTTAAAGATGTTAAGGGCAAGAATCTTCTATCCCTTACTGGAGTGCTTATCTATTATTTCTTATTAGAGCAGTGATTCAAGACTTACGCCAGACACAAATAGCAGGTGTTTGGATACAGGGCCCCTATTCTCTCACCATTTGATTCACTGTTACTACTATTAGTGCTACTATTCATGCTGTTCAGCACTCTGAACAAGTCAGTCATTTTATCCTGTGTATTCATCACATTTTAAATGTAGACAGTGCTGTTTGCTTTTTACTCCTGGAAAATAAGAAGCTGCTTTTATTTTTGCCTTAACAGAAACACTGAAAAGCCACAGGTTTGCGTCAGCAAACATTGTGTGCCAGTTAGTACTGTGCGGATGACCTCTGTCCATTATGTATGAGAAGCACTTAGCAACGTGACTGTCATCATTCAAAGGCTTCAGAGATTTCCTTCTGCTTTATTTACTTCAGCAAGTTTAATTTGACCACTTGAGTGTTACCAGTCAATGCAGCAACAATATAGATGTAATTTCTATACTTGTTGGTCCTGTGTATAAAGACAGTGTGTGCTCTTGTATGTATGTGATGTAGTTGCGACCCAGTTTTGAAACGTTTCAAAAACTTGTTTAAAGCTCAGGTTGAAATCCCTACATTCTAGCAAACATATCAATAAACCCACAGTTCCCGCAGAACCTTTTCTTTCCAAAGATGAATTCTCAAAATACAGTCAGGCCAAAGAGAGCCTTCACTCTGCAGTCTTGTGAAAAACAAAAAGTGAAGAACAACACCCTGTTATGCAATAGCTTGTAGAAGAACTTTATTAAGTAATTCTTCTCTGTATGACTGTCAGGTTCTCACATTGTTGTGAAGGAGTTTTGCCAACTCTTCTTTACAGTATTGTTTCAGTTTGTAGGAATTCATTTATGCACAGCTCTCTTAGGGTCCAGACCACAACATTTCAATCAGGCTGTGCTCTGGACTTCTGACTGGATCACTGCTACACCTTGATTCTTTTCTTTTTCAGACATTCTGTTGTATATTTGCTGCTGTGTCTTGTTGCATGGCCCAGATTCAGCTAAGCTTTAGCTGCTGGACAGAGGACTCGACATCTGACTGGAGTTCGTGGTCTGCTCCATGACTGCGAGGTGCCTGGCTCCTGTGGTTGCAGAACAATCAAACCCAGAGCAAGCCCAAATCATTACCCCTCCACTAGTGTGCCTGGCAGTTAATAGAGTTAAAAGAGTTTGTGCTGATATGCTCCATTTATTTATTTTTTTTGCCACATAAGGTACTGTGCTTTGTTTAATTTACAGATATCACCATTTTTGTCTTGTGTATCCAAAGGATATTGCTCCAGAGGTCTGGTGGTTTGTTCAGATGCAGCTTTGCAAACCTAAGCCACGCTAAGTTTAAACGTAACATTTAACATGCTAACTATGGACTATAGGGTCTGAAACGTAGCTCTTCGGATTTTTGCAATTTCTCTGAGCACTGCATGGCCTGACCTTAGTGTGAATTTGCACTCTTGGGAAAATTGGGAGCTGTCTTGAATGTTTTCCACTTGTGAATAATCTTTTTCGCTGTAAAATGATGGAGCTGAAATTGTTTGGAAATTATAACCCTTCATGGACTGATGGCCATTAACAGCTGCTTCGCTAAGATCCTCACTGAGGTCTTTCATCCTTAGAATTTCTAACACACACCTGAATGCTCCAGACCATCAAATAACTAGAATTGCTGCTTTTATAGAAGGCTGTACTTCATTTTTCCACATGACCTTAAAAAGTCCTCTTAAAACTTTATTTTCTCACACACACACAAAAAAACTATGATTATAAAAAAAGAAATCTACCTGATTTCACTTTGGTCACTATCCCCTTCGAGGTTGTTTCCTTGTGCATCTCTCCAGTACTTTTGCTATATATGCATGCCTCTCTGTAGCACGTTCTGGTTACTTAAAGATTAGATCTGCACTGTGTCATTGTCTCACTCCTCCATTCTAGTCAGAATGGTACTTCAAGGAGCACAGTGCACATCGGGATTTTCCAAATTTAAATCAAGTATGGTTTTTATGAATGCCCCCTTTTACTTTAGACACCTTTTATATACTTTGATTTCTTTAGCCACTAGAAGACTAATATAATTCCTGCCCAGACAGAGTGAGACATACTGTTATTTACTGATATTTTTTTTATTTATGTGTTTAAAATACATATGAAACAGATACAATAAATTATATCCCAAATATTTACTTTAAATTGTTACAAAAGTTATCACAAACTGTACACATCATGACAGTAGTCGAAGTTGTTCTCGGTCCATATATACTTAAACAATTACAGCTCAAAGCTCTAAGGTCCTAAACATGGAATAACTCGGTAAGGTAGAATTGGCTTCACTGGGTCTCCAGTTTGACTAATTGTTCACAACTATTACAGAACGTGTCGAAATTGCACTCGTTTACAGGTCGGAGCGCTTCAAAGTATCACCAAACAATAGAAATACATTGTGATGTCTCTATTTCCATAAGTTTACGACAGCTTTTTAGAATTCACTTTTCAATATATACAAACAAAAGTGCCATTGACAAGTATGGATATATACAACTGTAAACACAAACTTTTTAATCTGAAATACTCTGACATATTCGCATTTCCCCCGATAAGTGCTTAATTTTTTTGTAGTGGTGAGAGGCATGCTACAAGTAAAAATATTCTCTTTTTTTTTAACACAAAGGACAGAGCAAGGGGAAAAGAGCATCATTAACTGCATTTGCAAGTAAGATAACAGTACATAGCCTTTTTCTATTTGCTATGTTGGGTTCTTATTAGTTATTACTCACAGGAAAATCTGAGATGATGTTCTGTGGTTTATTTCATGTGGCTTAAAAATATAAAATATTGTAAAAATATTCATAATATATGGAAATATTTGAGTGTGTGTGTGTGTGTGTGTGTTAGCCACTGTTTGTATTAATCTTCTGCACTTTTTAAAATTAAATTAACTGTTCAATAACACCTACTCCTTGCTGACTATTATACCTGTCAAGCCATTTAAATTTACAAGATTTTCTTTTTTCTTATCACCTGAAACACAGCTGCCACCAGCAGACACAGCTGCAGACTTTATCAGCTGGAGCCGTAGACAGTATAAACCATGAATGTAGAAGTAAGGCCAAGGCAGCTCCACAGTGGCCTCGTTTCTCTGACAAGTTCAGCCAAGGTGCAGCTGCTTTAAACATGCATTGTTTTAAAATTGCTAAAATTGTTTCAGCAGGGGTAGGTAATCTGGTTTATAATGACCTTAACCAAACAATCCGACCCATAAATGGGATTTAGAATTGTATTTGTCATTTATGGTTATTCTAAGTCTCAGAACTATTTTTCAGGTTTCATTTCCATCCTCTGACACTTACCCAGATTGGGGTCGGGAGGGAAACATCACCTCGTGTGTCCTTGGTCCGACCCAAACACGGACATGGCCAAAATGCATCTAGTCTTTTCTTTTGATGAGCAGTAGTGGCTTTAAGCTGAGCCCTTCTCAATTGATTGACCAGTAACTAGTTTCAAGCTTTAGTGAATAAAACATGAAGTTCATTTGGTAAATTATAGTTTGGTAAATTATTAATTAAAAAGGCAGGTTAACTAGAGTATGCTCCTTGGCTAATGCCACGGCAATCTCAGCGACTGTGTAACACTGTGAACCTCGAGGCTTCACAGCAGCTATGTTGATCTTTTATACTATTAGCGGCTGCAGCTAGCTTATTAACTATGCTAGCTATCTGAGTATTTAAAATACTAACTCTTTAATGTTTCCCACTGACTCGATTTAAAATGTCAATATAATGCAGGGATCCTAAAAGCGCAATCAAATGCTAAAAGATTGCAGCTAAAGCTCCGTCTCCCAAAGAAAAATTTAGCAACCTTATAAATTAATGATATATGGAGACGGCGCGGCATTATTCTTGTACTCCAGTACAGGTTAATTTGCCTAATTATTACTGTTAATATAAGAAATCTAAGATGTCACTACTTTTTTATTCTGTTCACTATGCTTCATTATGTATGTTTAAAAAGAACAACAGTTTTATTTTTAATGTTGCACATCAAAAGTTTACACAGAGGACAAACAGATGTGTTTACAAAACCTGCCTGTGGTTGCGTGAAAATGAACATTCAAGTGGGAACGAACTGCCAAATCTCACAGTCCACGACAGCGGTCATCTCCATGCGTTCTGAAGTGAACACCCTACAATAATGAACGTGGGAGTTTCAATATCAGTGTTACTGGACTAATTAGAGGGTAAGTTTAATTGTTTCTAAATAATACTGCTGCTTGTGTTTGCAGTTATGAAATAAGGTTGTTCTGTGTGTACAAAAATAAAGCTGAATTTGTCATTTCATTGTGGCCAATTTTAAGAAACCAATTTAGTCTGAAGTTCATTTAGACACACTTTAATTTGATCTTTCTGTACATATGCTACATGAACCAGCTACTGTTTCTCCAAATATGAGAGTCCTGCAGAGTGATGGCTATTCTGTTTTACACATCTGTGACAGCTGTGACTGATATATTTACTGAGATTTCTCAGCCCTTGCAGAGGCTCAGTTACCTGCATTCCCAAATAAAACCTAGAGCATGACTCGCTTGATTCCACAAGTGTTTTTCATCAAGTAAATATTTTTGTGGTACTGAGCAGCATAGCCCTTAAACTTTGTGCCATTTCAAACTAAAATGGTAACGCACTAAAGAGCTTGAGGGCTGGAAAAATGTTGCTCTGATACTGAAAAAAACTGATAACGCTGCAAGTTAACCACCACAACTTGTTGCAGTGAGGCCTACCATTCATGTGGTCTGTGTAAATGTTAGTCAAATACGTTTCCAAAGCACACGTATGAAAAACAAACTTTGAATGACTGTGAGTGCTGTGCATAGCCATCTCTGTAGAGCACTTGAAGAACTTGCATTCAAATGAATAAATTTCAGTACAAACATAGAAACATGAATTCAATCCGCTCAAAAGGGTGATAGGCAACATAGCTTGTCGGCAAACAAACATCTGGTTTCTTACAGAGGTGATGCTGGCACTCCACCTGTGATCATCAGGGTGTATGTGGAGGTTTGGGTGAAGGACATGAACCTTGACTCTCAAAGCTTGCTGCTCTTCCAGGCCACTGAAAGGTAAAGCATCACAAAACAAGCAACATTAAAGAGCTATCCAGTCTTTCCCTGGTAAGCAGTTATTTTCTCTAGTCCTACAAATACACTGTGATCATAGGCAAATCTATTTTGGAGCAACTGGACCTTAAGCAGTGTATATCATTTCCCTTGTCTTGTTACATATAGGGTATGTCGGATTATATCCCAAATTAAATAGAAATGTAAAGAATCAATTTAGTCACATATTGCTACTTGATTGTGATGTGATAATTCAAGATGCAATTACTAAAGAAAATACTGGGTGCTCAATGGCTACAGTGAAGTCCATAAGAATTTGCACAATAAATATATTTTTTATAATTTGGACTGAAATGCTGCCAAGATGTTCAGACTTCCAGCTTAACCTGAAGGGGTTTTCCAAAATAACATAAACTATGAAGGATTTAAAGCCTTTTTTATACATAATTCCTAATTTTTAGAAGCTCAAAATGAATCTGGCCAGTAAAAAAAATTATTTTAAATGTAAGGATCGTTCCTTTATCGTCATCGTGAGTGTAACTAATGATTTTGATCTTGTCACAAACTCTCAGTATTTTCATTTATGAAGGATTCTCTCGACTGTAGGCTTTGATCATGACATCCTTTAGAATGTTCTTGTCTTGGTTAGGTGTTGGTTGCTTTTAGCTTTTCCAAGCCATGGAAATAATTCTAATTTATTTCTTAGCCTCTGAAAATGGCACACTTAGTATTCCTGTAATTAATGGAATACTTCTCTTAAACCCCTTAAATTAAAGCTGAAAGCCTGCACTTCAATAGTTGGCGTACAGTGGAAATACAAAAACTCTTTCACCTTCCAAATATTTATAGACTCAACTGTACATTAGTCTTGTGTATCCATTTTTTGCTTTGACACATGATCCTTTCAAGCTTTCCCACAACTCGTGACTCCTCAGACCTCGACTATTTCAACATTTCAACAGCCTCTTCCCTGCTTTGACAAAAAAAATCAATTTATCAGACTGTCCATAGCCCAGCTACCAGACGTTTTAACAAGAACCTAGAGAAGTGACCACATCACACCTGTTTTAACCTTCAGTATGTTTTATATATATATATATCTCTATATATAGAGAGCCGAAAACTCGAGGTGGCAGAGCTTTCACAGTAAGAGTCTCGGGGCAATGGAACAAGCTGCCTGAGAAAATCAGGTCAGTTGAGTCAGTGACCTCTTTTAAATACCTTCCTCCATTATTTAAGAGCCTTTCCTGAAGTTACAAAATGTTATTAATCCACTTGTATTTCTCTGTTTAAATGGTTATTTAACCTTTAGTTTTCTTATTTTCTTGATTGTAAAATCTGCTTGCTTTGTTGCTTGTGCAAACTACCACCTGTAGAAAGGTCCTTTCTAGATAATGCATATATTTTGCCTATGATCACAGCTTTCACCAAATCATAATGTAGGTTTACCACTGAAAATAGGTAATCACCTGTGTTTTCCTATTCTCCAGGTGGGGAGTGGGTGTGACAAAAGAGGGAAAGAATTGATAACATGTAAAATATTAATTTACTGTAGTGAAACAGCTGTCCTCTGTAAAAAGGAAAAAAAAGCCTTCCAGTCTATAAAACTGACAACTTCTCTATGAGTACAGGATTAGCTACTCCTTATCTGAAAAACAGGCCCCATTAAAAGGACTACATGCGCCTTTTGCTGCATGACTTAAATGAACACATGCAACATGTAAGTAACAATGGTTTGGAGACCAGCTTTCATGAAGTGAAGCCATCTGTTTTCCCTTAGAAAACAAATTTGGTGCCTTAGTATTGCAAAGAAATAAATGTTAAGCGTCTCAATGAGATTTTGGGAAAAATAGCTAATAAACTTTTCAAAATCCCTTCAAGGTTGTTCTTTATGTTTTCTTGTTTGTTTGTTTGATTTACAGACAGGAGACTAATTTTAAGACAAAATGTATTTGTTTACAATCCCTTTTCCCCTGGATGCATATGTCCCCATGCAATAAGAACCCTTTTTCCTTGCAGATATCAAAGAGGGCACTTTCAATCTGCAGTATTAGTAATTTAAGAGAAAACAGCTGCTCATTAACATTGCAGCTGCGTCTAGGCTCCCTAAAACTTTGGAAATTAATCAGAAAAGTAAACCCTAAATTGGGAAACAACAATTACACGTTCCGGATGATTTCATAGTTTCACAATGTTGGAAAGATTCAATTGAACTAATATAAAATAAAAATAAAAAGACATAAATAATGTGCTCCCCGTAGAGATGGAATAGATTGACATTTAGAAAATGTGACAGTCTACTGTGTGGTTTCTTTGCTTTGCAAACCATAACACCTATACAGTTCAGTCTCACATTCAGAAGTTTTAATCAGGCTCTGTAAGACTAGTAAGGAAAAGAACATGCTTGTACCTCTCCTAGAGCATGCCAGTGCGTGATGGGCTTCCGTGGATAAGCCAACATTTCGTTCCAGTGATCTCGTCCGAGCCCTTCAGCATCTGGCCCCGTACGACACACGCCAATCACCTCATTGTGTCCAACACTGGTAGTCATAAAACACACACATTGACACACATGTGCTTTGGATCATGACTAAATTAAAAATATGTTTTGATCTACTTCTACTCTGCTCACTTTATCGTTTTAATGTAAGCATGTGAACATAAACAGTATTTAGTGAGTATTTAACTCACCGATCATAATCCATGACCATGATGGACAGACTGACTTGTTCCACATTCTCCGGGGGAATATCGAAGATGATAGCCTCGTTGTACACCGGATTAAGTGTGCTTTTCTTAATTGTTGTTTTTCGTTTCTTTAACCTCCGTCCATCACACATCAAGTAGACCTTCACATATGGATCTGAGAGACAAATATATTAAATAATTTGCAATTGTGTCAAAAGCTTTCATGGCTTCTGACATTAAACTTCATTAGCCTCTTTGTTTCAGTTTCTTGTGCATTGTTTTTGCCTTTCTGGTTTTTCTCCTGCTATCCCTCGGTGCTCCTCGGGGCTCCATATTGGGCCCACTACTCTTCTCTGTCAATGATTTATCAAATGCCTCCTCCCATTTTTATGCAGATGATACAATCTGCTGTTGTTTGTGTTTTTCAGTTGTAAAAACCTTCAGATTTCAGTAGTTTGCCTATTATGATGCTTAGTATCATTTAACTTTACATAAGTTTCTGTTAAATGCAGACAAATCTAAGTTCAATCTAAGTTTATTCATAAATAATCAAAGGGCTGAAACTTGTATTCAGGTATCATTATCGATCAGAATTTTCTCATTTAAACTTTATATTGAAAATCCTGTGTCCAAGATAAAAAATAAATAAATTAGGTTTCTTTTCAGGAATGCATTTTTTATTGTGCTCTAAGTCAGGCGACCTACAGGGGAACTTCTCATTATGAACACACCTGGCTAATACTTAAAGAGGCTGGATGCCATTTATCATTGTTCTTTACATTTATTACAGACCTTGGAAAACTTGTACATCACTCTCTTCTGTATGCTGCTGCTAAGTGACCGGCTCTGTATATCCCAGACCTTCCCATGGATTGGTTTTTGCAAATAAATCATTGCTTGGGCTAGTTTCTTCTTATGTGTGTGACTCTATTTCTAAAAACCACAACCAATGTGTCCTATGTTCTCAGAATATTTTATAAAAGAGACTTTTACCTGGAAAAATAAAGGATATATATCGTCCCTATTTCTTTTTGCTCTCTCAGCTTAACTATATTTAATTAATTCCTAAGTTTTGCTTTTGATGTGAAGACTATTTTGCTATTTGATTACCTGAGGAGCCTGTGATGTCCATGGCTTTGAGGTTTCTGCATTTGATGACTGTTAGGGTCATTCTCCCTGCTGTGGGGAGGTAGCACAACGAGTACATGATCTCTCCCAAATCGATACTCTCCTGGAGGGCATAAAAAGAAAAGAGAGCAGAATGTATTGAACCAAATTTAAATGATTTGCCACATTCTGTGAATCAAAATGCCAAAGCAAAGGAGCAAACAGGTCAGTTTTTAAAAGAGGTCATATGCATTGAGCTGATAGTGAGAGTTTAATTAGCATGGCTCTGCAGTCTATTTGACATTTATCTCAGTCCTTCAATTCTTTATGGCAGTAAACTTAACTAACAATTAACTGTTCAGATTTGTTACTGTTTCTTCATCCAATAACCTTAAATCATTAATCTAGTAGTAAATAGTACTAATGTATGGTTTCCAGGCTTTGGTAACAGTCCTAAGAAAACCATCTCAACAATACTTTGGTGGTTGGTCAAAAATTGTAATACAGGCAATCATAGCCAGGAGAGGTTAAATAACACAAATAGTGTGATATGTCACTATATTAATTGTTAGAATGAACTTTTTTATTGGTAATTGATGGGAAAGTATCTTTTTTAAACAGATAGACGGCATTAAACTATCATGTTTTGCAATGACTTGAGAAACCACAAGATCAACTTTATAACATCTTCTTTGTATTAGACTTCATCATCATCATCAGGCCAATATTTCAATTATTCAGAAACTTCGGTTTATGACCAAGTATCAATGAAATGAAAGTCATTCACAAATCTGTCAACTGTTGTTGGTAATAAACAATACAGTTTATTTAGCAAATGTTAGCATACTAGCATAAACTAAGATAATCAAGACTGCAAAATGTATAGCTGCTAAACATCTAAATGATCTTATCATTATGGCTTTATAGACCTGTTAGCATGTTTTTTAAATCACTATTGTATATGCAATATTATTTGATTCATTGTAGTTGAGTTTGTTGTTGGCTCAATTTGTTTGCTAGCAAAACGAATACCAATAGCGTATGTTGTGATTTCAAAACGTAAGAACATGATTTTGCAGCTCATTTAATTGTTAGTTTGTAGAGGTTCTTAAAATTAAGTTTGTTTGTTTATTCTGTCATAGTTTACACAATGAATTAGGTTACATTGGTAATTGTTAATGACATTATCTATAACTACTAAAAAGAGAAGTGTAGACTGTTTTTTCTGCTGAAATTTAACATCATAGTTGTTAATTGTGTAATCTAGACAACTCTCTGCAACTACACATTTATAGCCAGTGAAATCCCGTACGCTACATCTTACTATTGAATTAACATTGGAGTTTGGCTTAAATGTTCAATTATTGTAAGCCTCTCTCACACAGACCTACAGACTGGTCTGTAAACATCTTGAAATAAGGGGAAACGTGTGTTCCCCAAGATTGATCACAAAGAGGTATAAGGTGCTACACTCAAAACCTCACTGAGATTGCTATGGTTGTTAGCGAGGCGTTGCAGCTGCCCATAGTTTACATGATAAACTCATCTGCGAACGCTCAGCAACTACTCTCCAAGTTGTAGTGAAATTGTGAAAGTAAACATTTCACCTATGTTTTCCCATATGTTTTGGTTTCAGCAAGCTGCACTTTTCACAGTTTGTGCACCGGTTGGAGAATAGTTGGCAAGTGCTTGCAGAAAAATTAAGAGAAACCAATAGGAAGGGAGTTGAAGTTAGACAATACCTTATAACCACACATGTTTATAAATACTACTTGTGCCATAAAAATTGTCAGATAAATACCTTAAGATTAGTACAGGTCCAAAGTTACCAAGCTGCCTTTGGTTGTGTCAACACAGAAATAGGAATATAAAAAAAGAAATCCCACAATCCAAGTGACTATGATGAGATGTGCACAGGAGGAAAAATATAAATATAAACTTTCTCCATGCCATTTATATTACCAAACTCTATATGAAGTTGTCTATAGAGTTACATTAGTCCGTTTATTTTAAAGTGATGTCTTATGAGTCTATGATAGTGTAGCATTCCTCTGGAGTTGAATGTAATGAGCACTGAAATCACACCCGACTGCAGTTTTCTCTTGCACAGTCTCCATGCAGTTCTCATAGGTAAGGGTAAAATTTAATTGATGCAACAAATGTGGTTTTAAGTAAACAAATTTTATCAGCTCTTAATGCCTGTGCTTTTAGAAAGCATCAATATAAAAATTATAATATATTAAGGAAGCGAGAGAATAGCCAGTTAAACAATTCTTTATGCAAAACAAAATTTATTGTTCTTCTGTTGCTGCTAATTTAGCCCACAGACACTAAAGTGAACCTGAAAGCAAAGGCTCAGTGTTTCTCACCAGGAACACATTCATTAATAAAGCCCAGCCTCTTGAGCAAATTGTGATAAGTGGTTATGCTGGAGTAAATGCATTCGGGGGCTAAATAACCACAAATCTTTAGAAAAGAGTTCATATGAGGACAGGCTATCTGCAGTATGCTGCAAAGCCTGCAAACCCTTTTTGTTTACCTGTAGAGTTTTAGTCACTGCATAAATGTGGTCTTGGATATTTTTACTCTGTTTCTATAATTACATCTGCAGAATACCCAGCATTTTCTGGAAAATGCTGTGTGGGTGTTTGGCTGTTGAAATCCATTTCCCAAAGCATTTGAATTATGCAATGCATTGCACCTGCCATAATATTTTTTGATTAGACATTTCTGACAACAGTATAAAATCCCATTCACTACTACCACGGTAACAGCACAGAAGCCTGGTACAACATTTCTTAAATAGCAACAACATACACATATGCGAGGATTTGGCAGTGTCTTAGTGTGAACACCAACTCACTGTGGTTGCTGCATGAATATCCTTCCAAACAACCGCCTCCCTGGAAAGATCAGAGAGTTCAAAGAGGTTGTCCACAACCACCTCCCCAATCATATCGTGGCTGGTGAATCGGTCAAAGTCGTAGACGCTGAAATGGAGCTTGCGGTTGCAAAGCTCATCGTATACTACGGGGAAACAGAAGGTCTCGTCAAATGTGGGGTTTAGATTCTTGCGATGAACTCGAGTCTGGAACTTCTTCTTTCTCTCGGGTAGCAGGTAGATCTTCACATACGGGTCAGAGGTGCCTGTGAAGTCTTTGGCAGGCAGATCCAAAGCTTTCAGGATCCTCACCACCAAAGCCTGCTCCTCGTAGTCGTAACGAAGCGAAAAGCTTAGCTTTCCACAAGTCTCCACAGGCTCTTTGGCCTCTTCTGAGTCCACAGACTTCTGCTTGTAGAGTTCAGGTTTTATTCTTCCAATGCTGACAGTAGAGGACTGGCGGAGAGGCACTGTGTCCATGGTGAAGTCAACACTGGTGACATTCTTCTGACGAGGCAGGTGGCGCCTGAATGAATTGTGCCTGTTGAAAGGAGCATCACAGAGCATCAGGTAAATGTCTCATTTGTCGTGTGTTTGGCGTCATGGAAGAGCAGCTTTTTTATGGAACAAAAGGTTTATCAGAGCAAAATATCACACAAATAAAAGCTGGTTATTGTTTTTATTACTATTCAGGAAAAAGTCTAAAAACAATATCTAGAGTAGAAACCTTTAAATGTTTAATAAACTACCACCAGATGCTCACAATAGTGCATAATTAACTAGGAACCAAAATGGCGATAGTCTAAATATTGTCCAGAGATATATATGCTTTGTTTTTTTAAATCCCCCTGTGGGCGGTCTTTATCCTTCAAGCTCCTCATCTTCTCTACCTCCTCTTTCAACCCTTGGTATTCTCAAGCTTCTTGTGTTACTGGTGTTTATATTGCTTCCTCTGCTTGTCAACCGTTACTGTGTCTGGTTGGTAGCGGACACAGTAGAGGTCCGCCACAGTCACCAGTTTGTCTGTTTGTATCTGGAAGTCAAACAGGATCTTAGCTTGGCCATTTTCAAACTACCCTGGGGGCGTTGCGCTTGATACTTCTAGGCCATACTCGGCACAGATGTTCAGCGACTTGGTTATGGCTTTCCATGTATGACTCATGTGCTAGCATCTTTTGATGCTCATATCAAGTCTGTGACCCGGTCTTGCTCTGGAGCAGAAGCCCCACCCACCTGCAGTTTAAATTTTGTTTTGTATATGAGGAGCAGCCAATCAGAGGTTTGCTTAAAGGGGGCTTGTTTTAGACAGATGATCAGTTTTTCCAGCTTTATTTGACAGATACAGTGAGGAAAGGACAGGAAAGCAGGGGCAGACCGAGAGGAAGGCATGTGGCAAAGGGCCGCAGGTCAGACTTGAACCCAGGCCAGGCGCTCTCAGCCTATAAAGCAGCGCCCTATATTGCATATTTTAAATCCCAGCAAACTCCCTAGCTGAAAATAGCTGGTTTTATCATCCATATGGTAACAGGTGATATTAAATCACCAGTGATCAAAGTGACGAATTGATTTTTGCCACTACTGGCGTTGGTTTGGGGAAATGAAAACACATCTCCAGCTCTCAGATTTGAGCCCTCATTTCAATTACCTGAATGCTGCAAATTTCAGTGAAGTTGACATCTTTTGAGAAAACCACGTCTGTCTTTGACTCGCCGATCTTGTCACCTAGCAACTGGCCCTCCTCCTTTCTGACCGTAAGACAATCACAGCAGCCTGACAACCGTGGCACAGGAAGCACAGCTGAAGATTAAATACTACACTGAAATATTGTAAACAGCACAGAGGGGGAACATCGCCAGCACAAATCTCAGAGGAAAAGGAAAGTGTGCCTGATTTACCAACTGAACATTGATTAGCAAGATTTGTTTTCTCCTTTATGATTTTTGTGTATTGTCAACCTTTATCTCTCTTTGAATCCCCCAACACACACTCAATCCATATGGGCTTATTGACATCTTCCTTTGTCTTCCTCTTTCTCTGTTTTCCTAAGTGTTAAAGTTACAAACATCTACAATACCCTGAAAAAGTTTAACAACCTTTGGACTCCAAACTTTTGCAGTGTATGGTTTGTCACACAATAGATAAAAGTTATATTTTGTGTCTCATTAGTTGTCTAGAAACCAAACACTATAATGTCAGTTAGAATTTTGGCTACCATCATTTTGTTTCTTTGAAGCCAGAAGTGAACTTATAAAAAGTAGAGATGGACCGATCCGATATTACGTATCGGTATCGGTCCGATACTGACCTAAATTACTGGATCGGATATCGGAGAAAAATAAAAAATGTAATCCGATCCATTAAATATCACGAAAGCACCTCACAAAACTTGCAACACGCCGTAACTCACCTCAGAACGTTAGCACGTCGGAGCAGTATGCATCACGTGATAGAGCGGCTGTGGCATGCGGGACCTGTCGGTGGTCTGGATAGCATTTGGAGCTTCGCTAGCAACCCGGCATTTCATCTCCGACAAAGTTATCCCCGAGAGAAGTAAAGCAAGTGTGTAAGTCCATCTCTGAATGTTTGTAAAGCATTCCTGCGTTAAGCTTAACAAGCGACTGCCTCTTCTTGCTGCTACTTCAATCATGAAACTGCTTAATGATCAGCTGATCGGCTTTTCTGTCGCGAGTCCTCTCTCTGTTTGTTTTTGGCCCACTTTGCACCAGAAAGAGGAAACCAGCGGCTGAACAACAGCAGCACGTTTAAGCTTGATAAGCTGTTGTTAAATTTATTTAATATTACTTTCTACACCAGGATCTTTTTCTACGTAGCTGACGCTGGTAACTGTGCAGGGGCGGATCTAGCAAAGTTTAGCCAGGGGGGCCGATAGGGCATTAACAGGGAAAAGGGGGCACAAAGACATACTTTTCTTTCTTATTCTCATTTAAAATGTCTAGCTTTTAATAAATAATTATCTGACACCCAAAGTTTTAATTTGATGTAAAATGAATAGAAGTCAATTACTGTATATAGTGACTATTAAGTCATATATATACCCTAGTAAGCTATAGTACTTTTTCCTTTGGGAAGGTACCATCTGTGCAGTCTGCAATTTTGTTGAAGAAAGATGTTGAATCTATTTAATATTTCTTGAAAAATAATTGATTTCTGTGCATTTTTTTTCACACTGCATCAAATTAAGGTTGATTACGTCGATTAAGCATCATGAGGTGGAGCGTGAGGGGTGGTTCCCTATTTTTTATTTATTTATTTTTGTTGTTGCTGGGAGTTGGAACCCTATTAGTTAGGTTGCTTAATATTTACGCTAAGTACTCTTTAAAATACCAGAATAGGGAGGATGGTGTAGGTTTAAGTTTATTAGATTGATCAGTATTGCTGAACTATGAATTTTTTTTTTTTGCATACAGGTATAACAGAATAGCTTTAGTGTAGTTGTTGTTTTAAACTTGAGTATGAACTTATACAAAATGCAGCAAGATATTTAAAAAAAACAGTTTTGTTGATTAAAAAACACTATATCGGATTCATATCGGTATCGGCAGATATCCAAATTTATGATATCGGTATCGGACATAAAAAAGTGGTATCGTGCCATCTCTAATAAAAAGTAGACGGCTAGGTTATCAGCTAACTCGAAGCATGCTACATATAAACTGTACACTTATTGGCTTATTAAGTACCATTCAATACTAAAATTCCACTTGTGAAAACTGAGGCACAAACATCCTACTGTTTGGAGCCATGGCACATATTTCACATTAGAAAACAACCCAACAAAAATGTCACAAAAAGCATATTGATCATTTTTCACTGCACACCAAATATAGTGGAATTGACTCTGTTTGTCCCCAGTATACCTTTTTCTCTTTCTTTGACCACTAATCATGCTAGGGCCTTCACGCCCCTCTGTATAGTTATGGGGGAGAAAAAGCATTTGCAGTGACGAAAACATTTCTGTAACAGGGTGTATTTTGTTATTTTGGGGACGGACTCGCTTTTGGAACGGGTCTCTAGTGGTCATTTGAAGAATTGCAATTCAATTTCTCAGTTTTTAACTCTGTGTGCTGTCTTGACACAAAGAGGCCAAAGCAAAATATGGAAAATTGTTTTTAAAAATTGTCTTTACTAATGAGTATAGTTGAAAATGAAACATATATGATTGACTTAAACTTCATCCCTCTGTTTTGCATTTTCACCCTTGTTCCACAAAGTTTCACCTGTGCTCTGCCACTGTTTGGCTTGGTTACAGATGCACAGTTACACATAAATGTCAGGGTCAGAGTCAATCAGAGGAAGAGTTGGTGATGGTCTTTGCATAATGTGGATGTCAAATTTTAACAGCGACAGCTGAGGACAGAAAAAAGTGTGTCTGTAAAGGTCACCGAAACACGGTGGAAACTCTGTAGAGTTTCTATTATGTGACTATTTTAGTTTAAACATTTACCTGCCAGTATGAAGGGAAGGTTTCTAAGACTGAATCTCCAAACTAAAAATGCTTTTGGTGCTTGGCAAATGTTAATTGTGGACGCTGAACCAAGTTAGTCATAAATTCTTAGAATAATTTTAATAATTAGTCATTGTTTCAAATGTCAAATTGTTTTCTATTTTTTGATTCCAGCTTTTCAGCTCTGAGGATTTGTTTCTTTTCTTTGTGACACTGAAATAAAATCCCAGTTTTGGACTGTTGGGTTTCCATGTTTGCAGATGTCAGTAGTTAGATTTCCTGGTTTTCCAAGACTATATCTACTATTTTTCTGGTGTTATAACCTGATTATGGTATATGCTGCTAGGCTTTTCTTTTAAGCCACGATTAACTCTAAAACATTAGTTTTGCTTTAGGCTTCTTTTAGATTTTGCTGTCAAAAAAGTAGGCGGAGGAATTGAGAAGGTAGGTCTTGTAATCTTTAACCTGTCCTATCTGCATAACTGGTGGGTGTATAATTCATGGAGGCCTACGCCACAATATCATTTAATTAACAAGCCCTAACAACAAATCAAAGTGCATGTCAATACCAGCTTCCTCCGAGAAACTGAGCACAGCTGCCTGGTGCGTCTGACAAAAACCCAACCTTCCACCATGACAGCTCCCACCCCACAGCCATGCTAATTATGGACCTTCTAGTTTAAACACAGTACTGGAAAACAAAGAGAAGAAAGAGCTGATTGTTTAATGACTGAGGTCTTTACCAGAGCAGCTTGACTCACATGTACAAGTGATTATAGGGTTCAAAGTGCAGCAAGGAGATGTGTCAGAAATGCTGCAGAATCTCATTTTTGTGATGTACAACAGCAGCAGCAGCTATTCAAGGTCACCAACCAGTCACTGACATGTGCCACACTACCTCGAGGACAGCAGCAGCAGCCCTGTCACGAACTGTCAGGACAGTTTGTGCTCTATGTGAGTTTTTGTTTTTTTAAATGTGTTTCTTGTAACATGGGTGGGGAGATGGACAAAACAAAAGAGATCTTTAATATGCTACACTTAGTTGTAAGCACAAGTGGCCTGAGTGCAGAAGCAGACTAGGGACTGGTTCATGTGACAGTACCTGGAGGAGGAGGTTGGCTCGGTGGTCTGCCTCTGGATTTTAGCCTGCTGGCTGAGCTTCTCCCTCAGAGCTGTCTGGACCTCGGCAGGGATGTCTGGAGACGTTTGGCTGATCTTCATGGCTGCCTCCAGTAGCTTGACTGAGCTCCGTCCATTCACCTTCACTTCAGGCGGCTGTTTCTTTTCCACCTCCGCCACTTTAAACTCAGTAACCGGGGGGGAGTTGGGTGGGGGTGCCTCGGGGAAACCCCCACGGAGCACATTTTCAGCGTGGGCTGACAGAGCCTTGCTCCTCCAGATGGGCCAACACAGCTTCCAAAAGACAAAGAGAGAGACTACCAACAGGGCGAGGCCACAGAAACCCACGACCACAGCAAGGAGACTAATAGAGATGTCTACATACAACCAAAGGACAAAGACAGGTGACACGTAGAAAGGAGGAGAGAAGCAGGCGAAGGACAAAATATGACCAACAAACATGCAAGGGAGAAGGAGAAAAAGGGAGAGAAAGCAAGCTGTAAGAAAGAGGGGGCAGCAAATGCACCTGTTTGATATAGAAAGATCATATAAAGGTCATAAAACCACAGTTTAGTGAGGAGACACAGCATCAGGAAAACAGCACGAAAAGAAAAACATCTGGCACCACATCTCCCCTTCTGGCTTCTATTTAAAAGCAAAGTTTGCACCCACTGTGCAACAGTATGCAAGGAAGCTTAATTCAGCTTAAAAATTCAGCTTTTCAATCGAGCTGGCACTAGAGTGAAATTTCACAGACTGCAAATTTACAAAGGAAACATAGCTGAAGGGAGGAGAATCATTTCGTCCTCCCGGTCTGTTTCCCACCTGTTGCTGTTTCAGTCAGTGTGGACTGAGATGCGTAACAGGTAGACACTTTCAGAACAATTTAAGTTTTTAAAAAAACGCAGTAAAAATAAGGATAATAGTGGACTAATAAACTTTTAAGTAGTTGGTGATTAGTTCATCCATTCCCCCTCGAAACTCTGCGAGTACTGGGCGCCATGACTTTAGAGAAAGAAGTGATTAATTAAGGGAATTGGGGAGAATAAAATAATGACTTTATTCTATTTACCTGCGTGTCCTTTACCTGGTATGTTGCTCTCAAGGGGGAATATATCCGAACATTTCTCCCGGTCTACGTGTCCCGCGAGACAAAGTTCCGTAACGATTTGGAGAGCCCTTTGGCACAGAGTGACGCTGTCATCCGTCCGAACATTCATGTCTCTCCTGTTAAGCCATTGCACGCCGGAGGAGCCGGGAGGGCGGCGGTTCATTTGGAAACCTTTTATGCGCCGCAGAGTGCAGCCTGTCCGCGGGAGACAGTGGGGAAGCGCGCAGAGTCCTGATCCATATCCAGCGCGCAACGAGGAGCGACTGGCCGCACGCGCTCCCTGCGTTTGAATAACAGCAAACGGGGTGCTCGAGTCCAACCCTCACTGCGTCCAATAGCGATGCGCTTCGGTTTGATACTCAGTCCTGTTGGTCGGGGTTTGTAACGGGATTACTTTTTCGAGTAATGACTGGAGTGTTCTCTATGAGGGACAGACGACCTCGCTATGTCCCCGCCTTTCGGCCAACGCATGTTGGCTTCCCGGTCCCCTGTGGCCCTCGGTCTGTGGTTATAAAGATTCAGCAGATCTAAGTCAAAGCCAAAGAAAAGTAACACTTTTCAAAAAGCATCACAGAGCTAGAAAAATAGGCTTACATACAAGCTGCCCCATACCTACAGAAAATGTGTGTTTTGTTATATATTTATATGAATATTTGCACAGATTAGAAGGTCAGAAAGTTTTTCCAGTCAGTCATCAAATTCATATTTTTTGAAAGTGTGTGTGTCACCAAAGCCAGTTTGCGTTCTTATGGTTATTCCAATTTACTGAGAATCACTTGACCTGTGATGTTTTTTTAAACTACTGACTAATTTCAAAACCTAAATTTCTTGTAAAATCATTCTAATCATTATTATTATTATTATTATTATTATTATTATTATTATTATTATTATTATTATTATTATTATTATTGTTGTTGTTATTTTCTATGAACCATTCAATATCATATACTCAGTAATGCTTAAGTAATGATTGACTCATCATGATGATGATTAATCTAAGATGTGTCATTAATTTTCTAGCCATTAACAAATGTGAAGTGCAAATTTAGATCATCCATTAAAAAATGATTCACTGTTACCTCAAATGTGGACTGACACGTGAGCATGTTAGCTTCTCAACATCCCAGTTTATTTATGTTACTGTGTATATCTTGAATTTGATTAAAAACATGACTCTTCTATAAAAACATACATTCATCTGCCCTAAAACTGAAGCTGCAGAAGTCCCATATGTTGCAGTTCCTCTAATGGCCACATGAGGCTGGCTCTAAAGGTGAATTAAACTCCATCTACATCCATGTTGCAGCATGTTTACAGCCAAGTACAACATGCACCATCAAAGCTTAAAGTTAAATTTATCAATTTGACTGGTATGTGTGCTGACACGGGCAATCGTAGCTGATAGCTGTCTGTCTCTTGGCCTCATCTCCACTAATTAATCACACTGAAATGGACCTCTTGACTATGTTTGTGCTGTAGTTCCTTTTAGAGCATTTTTCATGGCATAGAAATGCTCTAGAAGGTATTTGGGGACACAAAGGTACTGCAGGTGGGCCGATGTAATAAGAGAAATTCATTTTTGAACATCCTCACTGGATTTATATTAAAAAAAAAAATCATTAAAACTGGCAATAGGAGGTGGTTAGTTTTTGATATTACTCATTACTCCAACCTAAATGTATTGCTCTTGTATTGAAGTTTGTGTTGCTGTGGCAGGCGGGTCACAGGTTGGCTTTACCGCTTTGAATATGACTGGGTAGCATCTGCAATTCATAGCCAACAGCCTGTAGTTTCTGTGTTTTTTGAATAAAATTGTCAAGAAAACACATGACTTTCCATTGTATTTTGATTAGAGTGAAGATTTATGATTTGGTAGGGCCCTGTGGGGTCTTTCTGGTTTTTAAGGGGGCTGCAGCTATATTTGCTTCTGGAATGGCTGATCGAGATTAATTTAAGGTGAGCTGTGTCTTTTTACTTAAAAAAAAAACAAAAAAAACAACAACAATATGGAGCAACATGGCAGTGGCTCAAACCCTAAAAATGAGGCTTCAAAATGCAAGGAAGCCAAGAAAACCAATTAATGATGTCATGGTAGCCACACCCATCCATCTTTTATATACAGTCTTTGACAAATACATACTGTTGTTGCTTACCAACTTGTGTGAATTGAGTGTAAATTAATGTCTCATAACTGATGACCTTTGAGGTGTGAAACATTCACAAATAGATATGGAGACTTTTTTTATATGCTAATGGTAAGCAACAGGAAATCATTAAATCATACTTTAGCACGAGTCATGCATTAGTTTGGCGCTACTTGAGTATATAATTGTACTCTTATTAGAAAGTGTTACCATCTAACCGATTATTCTCTTTACAATTTATTTTAACACACTCTCAAATTGCAGATTACCTATTGAAAAAGCGGTGTTCTGTGATTTTACCTGTGCGACCAGTTACTCAGTTATTAGTCTTTAATTTACTTATTTGTTGTGCATGTGTATGAAGAAAAATTACCATTAAATTCACTTTTCTCATCCGCAGGTAGTTGGAGAAAAAAAAGGGCACAGAATAAAATTTACATGTCATTCAAATAGTGAAAATGTTCAAGGATCTTCATCAAAAGCACTGCAAAGTCAAGGTTGCAGCCTGTATTCACATGCCAGTGGGGGGCACAAGACTGTAGCCAAGGGAAATTGCAGTGGAAAGAAGTGAAGAATAACAGATGTAATGAAAGAGTGACAAATACAGCTGAGGGTGATTTAGAAATTTGGAGCCATGGTTACTATGGTGTAGCTGTCCTGAAGGGATGGTATCAACAAAGGAAATGAACCAGAACAGGAAAGAGATTCCAAACCTCTTCACCATCCAGCCAGAGCCATGTGATAATTAAGACATGTCATATATACAGGACTGAGAGGAAATTCAAGTTCGGGATTTAATATCTTTACAAATGAGAAAAGGAACACTGAACGTTTTAACCCAGCCCGGTGACATGAAAAAGGCAACAATTTTATCAGCTTTTTCCCTTCCCATATGGTGACAACTAATGACACCTCAGGCCTCATCCTAACCATTTTCTTTTATGTGCATTGCAACATAATATGACACGTGAAAAGTTGAAAATGTGTAAACATGACACACATCTGAAGCAGCCCCCTTTCTTTATATGTATGTTCCATTATAGCATGTAATTTAAACTAGTGAACGGAGAAAATGATTACATACAACATATGGGCAAAAGTGCCGGGCCACCTACACATTACACCTACAGGAGATGCTCGGCTATGGAAACTCATGCCTTGAAGCTCCCTTGACGTGCAGAGTCTTTGTGCTGACGTTAATGCAAGAGGAGGTTTGAAGTTCTATAGTTTATGTTGACAACTATGCTCATCAGCACTCCATTACACACTGTACATTTATGTGATCTGCCACTTCATCACTGAGTTGCTGTGGTTCCTAAAGCTTCCACTTTGCAATTATACTGCTTAGAGTTGGTAGTGGAACATCTAGGAGGCCTGATATTTTTGCCCATATAGTGTATAATATAGTATCTTCATTCATTTAAGCTGATATATATATACGTAAATGGATGTAAACATTAAAAAATTGCAAAAAGGATACTTGATTGAGTGCTACTGTGTCAAGTTCTGTAAACCTTACTATATAAACAGGTCATCACTTGTGTTCGTGTGTTTTAGAAATTCAAATTAATTCAGTTTTATTTAATTTGATTCTTTGAAGTGATACCTCCAGCAAAACAGCTGCTGATTCATTATTACTATGCACTCACGAGCCACTTTATTAGGTACTCTTTGCTAGTACCAGGTTGGACCTCCTGCTAACAAATATCTGGCACAGATATATTTTATATATAGAAGTTATATTACCACCTCAATTGACATGCAACATGGATCAAAAGACAGTATGGGTTGCAAAGCAGCTTGCAGGTGCAGCTGTAACTGTTGGCAGGCTTAAGCAATTGAAATTGAAAGACATAGTTTAAATTTGCCAGATGGAAGCGTAAAACTATCAACTGATCGAAGCTTCGAGGTCCTGAACCAATCATAATTTTTTTCCTTTGAATGCTATTTAAAGGTCTTTTTGAGCAGCCGCATCAGATTAAATGTTCAATAAAATTCATCCATCTCTTTGGATTATCTGGACATCAGATTGGCTCTCTTCATACTGAGCATCAAGGCCTCACAGAGCTGTTAGTGTGGCGGTTTGAGAGTCTTTTTTTCCCCCCGTCACAGCTTGAAATACCAGATGATTTCGAGAGAGTCGTCACTCCTTTCCACTCAAACTTGTTGCTGATTGTAGAAAAACATTCCCTGTTAAAAATGGTCTCCACTCCCCCATAAGAGAGATGTATCAGATGTTTGAGCATCGTGCCCAGAGCAGAAAGCTGTTTGGCAGACCTCTATAACTGGGAATTAACCAACAGGAGGGCAAAATAATCAGCTGCTGCACTGAGCTGCAGTTGTCTAAGCCGATTCGATTCGGTATCATTAAATTGATATAAACCGCATGCATACAGCCAGCAATTACGTGGCCTTTAGTGTAATCATTACACTGGACAGTGCCCCAGAGTAAGTGCCAAATTTTTTAAGCAATCCTTTGCCATAAGCTTTTGTGTATTCAATAAAATAAGGCCATCTATTACCTCCATTCATTTCCAATTTCCAACCGCAAATCTTCTGACATCAGGGATGTAAATACCAAAGGGGCTGTCTCCAAGACAACAGCGCACACAACATCAGTAAACTGTCTGCGAGATTGTCTTTGTCTTTCAGTTTATGTCTAGTGTAGCATTGTGGAGAGAAATAATCAGTATTTGTTCTGCAGCTAAGCCTGCTGGGACACTGGCGTATAGATGGAAAATCAGCTGTGCTTTAAACTGCATTTCAAAGGCACTTGTTGGTAACTAATTGGTACACAGAAAAGAGGGAACACTGGATGATGAAGGGTTAGTGCGTGATTATGTCAGTGCTAACTTGAAAACACAAAAGTAATCACTGCGCACATTATTTCCCCTCATTGGCATTTGCATTAGGCTCTCAAACACAAAGACAGGAGCAGGAAAAGAGAGAGAGAACGCAGACTGTGCCTCTTCAAGTTTTAGATATCTTATCAAAGGTGATTTACATTATAATTCCATCTGCGCTCGATTCTGTCAAAACAAGGTTGGCTAGGAGAAAATATGAGTCGTAAGAATGAATGTTATGGTTTTATTGTTTTTAACAACTTAACACTTAAACAACTTAAGAGCAAAAAGACCTCATAACACCATAACAGGCTGCTAATGAGGGACTGCACAGCATTTTTATACCCTTAGTCCTGTGTGTTCATACAGTGTCCGTCATTTTGATTGGATCTTGTGTGCAAAAGTCCACATGGTAAATGGACTGGTACTTACACACTGCTTTGTCCTTTAAATGAG